GGGTGTAAATAGCGAAGGGCTTCGCGTCGTCCCTCAGGTGGATCCTCATGGGGGGACCTGCCATCTTCTTGAGAGGCTTGGATTCCAGAGCGGACTTGGTCACCAGAACGTCGCTGAATTCCTTCAGGAAGTACTTCCGAGCATCCGAAGGAGAGGTGTCACTGGCAAGAGGTAGGGGTAGGGCGGCAGCAAGGTCGTTGCTGCTCCGTTTTTGCACCCTGTTGGCGTGTTTTACCTCAAGAATAGGTTTGGGGAAGTCCTGGGAGATGATGGCCAACTCTTGACAATGTCTGTAGGACAGCAAAGGAGTCGGGACACCGTTATGCACATCAATCCAGGCTTGACACGACCTGTTGCCAAAGGTGACTTGTGCTTGGAGTGAACCCAGGGCCGGGGTCATCCGTGAACCACCTGCCATAAAGCGGAGATCCTTGGGGGGCGGTCCTAGATCACTTGGAGAGAGCCCCAAGCATTGCAAATGCTGGGGACCGATGACTGTAGCATCAGCGCTGGTGTCGGGCAACATCTGAAGACGGGATGACACACTGCGGTAGGTCACAATGACACTGATGTACTGGGGAACTTTGGTCCTGGGACGCGGGGGGCAGCACACATTCCTAATATGGCTCAAGCGTTGTCCAGGGTCCTCATGCTTCTGATTGGAAGACTGTGGGCGGCCCTCTCTGGTGGAAGGGCGCTGAAGCTTCCGCCGACGCTGTCCCTTGGGTTTGTTGGAAGGGCAACACTTGTCATAGTGGCCCAGACGACCGCACACATTGCACTGGACGTACTTGGCTGGGCACCGTACTGTGAGTGACCAGTGGCCCTTACGGTCACAACTGTTGCAGGTAGACTGAGCAGCTGGACACACCTGTGTTCCGTGCTGCTTACCACAGTTGTTACAAAATGAACCGGGCGTGGACGTGGTGGGCGAAGGCGTAGGAGCAGACTTCTTGTCCTTCTTGTACCGGGACACAGCGCGTACAGCTGTAGGGGGAGCTCGGATGGCAGAGGTGGCACACCTGGCAGCCTCATAGGAGCGACATATCGTCAACACATCCTTGAGAGAAGAGGAAGAGTCGAGGGAGGTGAGGCGTTGGACAAGTTCCTCGTCCTTAACACCCATCAGGATCACCTGCTTCAACTGGGTCTCCTCGCACTGCTGGTGGTGGCCTAGACATATATCTACCTCTTCCGAGGCTCTCTTAAGACGTACATAAAAGGCATCAAAAGACTCACCCTCCATCTGTCTGCAGCTAAACAATTCCCTCCTGCGCAGAGCTTCATTCTGCTGTCCTTTGATGTGCCGTTGTAGAATGTCCAGTACATCCTCTACAGACAGTGAAGAGGTTGGGGGTACCTGCAACGTATGTTCTAAGACACGCTGAATTTCCAAGGACAGGCACATACGCAGCTGGATGAGTTGTTTAGGCTGTGACAAACTCTGGAGATCCACCATTGTAGAATAATCAGTCCACCGTCGCCGCCATTCACGAAAAGTCTGGAAATTCACATCAGGCTTCAAGATGGGCGGTGTTTGAGCAGCTGCTTTAGGTGGGGCTGGGGGGCGTGAAGGAAGCATTGATGAGGTATCTGAACCAGTCAGTACCGAGGCAGTGTTAGAGCCAGGGGCTTGGTTAACAGTGAGGCGAGATATCAAGGCTTCGAACCGTGCACTGTCTTCCAATCTCCGTTGGTGGTCTCTCTCTGCCTCTGCTTGCCTTCTGTGTTCATCCGCCACACGTCTGTGAGCTTCATCCTTGCGCCTTTCATCTCTCATAAACTTCATTAAAGCAATTATCTCTGGAGACAACGCTGAATATTGAGGTGAAGGGCTGCGCGATGTTCTGGGAGCTGGAGCGTCGTGGCCGGCCTGGTCATCCATCTCTGCGGGACTATCATCCGCTTGACTCATCCAGACGGTGGGTCCACGGCTACGTAAGGCATGAGACATAACTACTTCATCTGTGTACTGTGTCTTAAATCAGTGTTGACCGGTCAGCCCGTCGTATCAACAAGATTTCAGACAAAAAAATTAATTAAATACACAGATAAGTAGATTATATATATAAAATATATATAATGGAGCCGCGCGGTCAGAGAATGTTAGTACATGTATGTGTGTGTGTGTGTCCCGGGCAGGCTAGAGCGTCTCGCCATGAGGGGCCTCGGGCTGTGAGGGAGGGGTGGAGACGGCGAGGAACGTCAGTCACCCTCTGGACGCGGTCAGAGAAGGGTGCACTGAACTCTACTCCCCACAAATGCCCAGAACATGCCGTATACCTTGGGAATCCTTTAAAACAAGGTCACACATGAATGGCACGAAACACACAATGCACTAAACACTTCACAGAAAATCACTGTCACTGACACTGCTCAAAGTTGCTAAATTCTTCGAGGACGGGTGGCAGGACGGGTGGCGTGGCGGTTGACACAGGGCGGGAGTCCATAAGCTGGCTTTCCACAAACTTTGCACTGTCACTCATAATTATCCAGTAAAACTACGCACTGCGCCATGTTAGGTTCTGGATAATAAGTTCAATATACAGGAGAGAACATAAACACCTGTATAGATTTTGTAGGTTCGATTTACTGGATCAGAGATATGTACACAGAGGGAAGTAACGCTCCTCAGCTTGGCTGCCTGTCAACTGCTATAGACGACGTATGGCAAGTGAGACATTAGCAGCTTCCATACGTCGCCAGGCACATTAATTAAGCATGTGGGATATCTTAAATACATTGCCACACACTGCTAGCTAGGCTGAATAAATAGTACATAAATGGAGCACATACATAATATACATACATAATATATAATCCAGCATACATAATATACATACAGGGGTATCAAAGACAAACATAGAGACACGACCTTCTCCTCCACCACCTTCTAAACGCTAACTATGGCACTATTCGAGGGCAAACTGGCAATCTTTGTGAGAATTCTTCTCTGACTTTCCTTGGGAGGAATGTTGCTTTTCCACTCGGGATGCCTCGGTATGTGTTGACAGCATTGCTGGGGTTCTACAGGGCGGTATGAGTGCATTTATCCCATCTTCTACATAAACTTTCACTTTACAATCATGGTTTGATCGCTCCTGCTCTCTTGCATGTCGGGAGAGAGATAGGTCGTATCAAGTTATGAAACTATCTCCTTCTCCTATTACCCACTCATCTTTCATTGCTTCTAGGAATCGTTGTAAGGCTATTATTAGGTAGGGACAAGCGGAATTTTATAAAAAGAAAGACCGCTGACCCGACTATCTCTTCTTCTAGTAAATCCTTCTGATCCTCAACCAATAACATCTGTAATAACCTCTGCACTCCCTCTTTTCCTCCTCTCTTCCGACCTGATAACTCTATAGACAACTCTCTCCCTGCTAAAGCCAATCTCTTTGGCACCTTATTCTCCTCTAACTCCACCTTAGACGATTCCAACTCTACCCCTCCTACCCCTGCTCCTACTGAAGCTATGCACTTTCCTATAATCTCAACTCGTAGGGTTGCTGGTGTGTTATCCTGGTTGGACGTGAGTAAGGCGCATGGACCGGACGGAATACCCTCTCGTGTTCTGAGGGAGTGTGCTGAAATTCTAGGGACTGTGCTTGCTCGCCTCTTTCGCCTTTCCCTCAAAACCCAAACTTTTCCTTCTTCTTGGTAGCATGACTCGGTTCAGCTCATCTCGAAGAAGGGTGACCATTCCAATCCCTCTAACTATCGCCCCATTGCCCTAACTTCATCCCTCTCTAAGATTTTCGAAACTATCTTAAGCTCTCATTTCTCCGTCACATTGAACGCCTTTCTCTTTTGTCGGATCTCCAGTATGGCTTTCGCCAGGCGAGATCTACTGCACCCATCTTTGGTCATCCTCTCTTAGGGATTATGGGGAAATTTTCGTTGTGGCCCTCGACATCTCCACAACATTTGACAGGGTGTGGCACAAGCCTTTTTTCTAAATTTCCCTCTTATGGTTTCTCTATTTTCTAGCTTCCTTGAGAACCGATCCATGACTGTTGTTGTAGAGGGATCGATCTCTCGTTCTTTCTCTATCAATAGTGGTGTCCCACAGAGTTCTATTCTTTCACCTACTCTCTTCCTTGTTTTATCAATAATTTACTTCACACAAAGACTAATTCTATCCATTCTTACGCTGATGATTCTACTCTTCACTCTTCTTCACATTTTCCCTTCCCCCTATTTCTAAAACTAGATCTGTTACTTTAGCTGATATTATTTCACTTATCAATGTGGATCTGTGCAGCATCTCCGAATGGGGAGGTAAGAGCTTTGTTAAATTCAGTAGTAATAAAACACCGTATTTCCAATTACACTTTTCAAATTAGATGATCTCACACCAATCACATTTCAGGACGCAATCTTTCTGCCAAATTCTAAAATAGATATGCTAGGCCTCACCATTTCCCCTAATATGTCATGGAAGCCACACATCCACAACATTGCTAAAGTTGCCTCCCGAAAGCTGAGAATGCTGTACAGATGCCGTAGCTACTTCACTCCTGAGCAGTTGCTTCAAGTTCATAAGGGATTCATTCGTCCTAACTTGGAGTACTGCTCTCATATCTGGTGTGGCTCTTCTTCTATCCCACTGTAAGATTGGGTGGAATCAAAGGCATTTCGTCGTATTAATTCGCCTCCTTAGTTGATAATCTTTCCTCTCTTTCTCTTCGCCGCAATGTTGCTTCACTTCTCTTTTACAGGTACTTTAACGGGTAATGTTCCGTGGATTTTGCATCCTGTGTACCGCTCGTTACACTCGTCTTGCCCGCGGTCCCCACCGTTTCTCTTTGGATGTCGGTCACACCAGAATAACCCGTTATAGTACATCCTTCTGTCCCCACACAGTCAAACTGTTGAATGCATTGCCTTCTTCTGTATTTCCATACTCATACAATCTGTCTCACTTTAAAAAGCTGGTTTTTCGGCATCTTCGTGGTGTAGATTAATATAGATTTTTTTTCTATTTATAATTTCTTCAGCAGAAACTCGGAACCCCGCCAGCTAGTGAATGAGCAGGAGGAGGATCTGAAAATGGACTCCCCTCCAGAGGATCTCAAATTGGAGGAGGCTCAGACAGAGGCTACAATGGAGAAGGCTCAGATACAGACAACAATGGAGGAGGCTCAGATGCAGTCAACAATGGAGGAGGCTCAGATGCAGTCAACAATGGAGGAAGCTCAGACGCCGGCAACATTGGAGGAGACTCAGACGCATACAACAAATGCCGAGGTACCACCTGCGGACACTGAAGGGGGAGGTGACACCAGGAATGAACCTACGGATGTCAGTGATGGTCCAGGTGGGTGCTGACATACTTAAGTGTTGTTGAGTCAGCAGGACTTTCTCTCTTTCTCGTATGTATATTCTCCACTGACTTTATATACAAGGTCAAAGGTTAGGTCGTGAAGAAATGCAAAACACCTTTGAGTATAAGGCCAAAGATCAGAAGGTAGGATAAGGTAAGTTGTGACCCAATATACTCCTTCATCACGTGATCCAGGATTCTCAAAGAATGATACACTTATATTCTTCTTTTTACTGGACATGAGATTGAGTACCTAATTATGTTATAGTTTCGGTGTAGTTACGGCTTCAGCTTAAGCCACAATGTGGGCCAGTGAGTTGCGTTCTCACATAAATTCGATACGAAAACCTTTGTGAATCCTGATCGTGGTCCTCATAATTATAAGGTTTATTTATATGCAAATGTTTTTCTTTTCAGTCCAATGTGGCGGTGACGTGCGGATGATTGACATTCCTTTCAACTTAACGGGACATAAAGGCTACAAGCAAGAAGAGTTGCTGGTGACGCCGGGTTGGGACGAGGGGGAGTACCCGGAGGACATCGAGTGTGTCTGGAACCTGAATGTGAGTTTTCTAGGACACCAGGGCACAACCTGTTCAACTGATCTGCTACATAACCTTTCACATTATTGCGTTAGTTCATTTCTAATAACTATCGTCACTGGTGGCAGTAATTGACAAGAGATGAGAAGAACAAGGAAAGAGAAATGGTGGTACAGCTGTAACTCAAGGGTTCGAGCCTCGGCCCGGACACACGTGAGAAGGGTATTATACCAGTGTGACCTTACTAAATATCACAGGTTCCCGGTCCCCAGTTTCCTCCTGTACTAACACTGGATACACCGCCCAAACAGCTAGTAAATTGATAAGTGGCGAAAATGAAAATGATAAATAAATGTTCGTATGAAGTTTTGGAATAAGTAGTGGGGTCATGGAAAGAACATTTAGGTTCAAATAAGTGTGAGGACTAAAGTTACTTTATCGAGCCTTGAACATCAGTGTCAGTAGAATAAATAAATAAACGTTGTTTATTAAAAGGGCATAAGGAAGAGAGTGACTGAAGGTAAGAATTAATAACTTTATACCCCAGAATATTTTTCAGCGATGCATAATGGAGACGGAAACAAAACTGTGAGCAAGCAGATCCCTAACTCCTTGTGAGGTTATACATGGCTCTGAAAAGGCTGAACACTTGGATGGGTGAGAACAAGGATGGCTGCAGAAAATAATGTGATTTATATATGTGTGAGTTAGCCTGGTATCCGGCCTTCTTGGCCAGTTGCCTGACAAGGATTTTCCCCAGGTTTTGTAAACAAGGGCGTGATTTCTCGTCTCAAATTTCAATAATTCCTTGTTTTCCCTTATTGCATATGTGATAACTCGTCACAGGGAAATCCTCCCAACATCTTCGGTGGCATCGGTAGGAATGGATTACTGTAACATCAGCGGGATGTTTCTTTTTAGAAGTGATAACGACCAAGATGAAAGCATCTATACTTATTGTTTCCCTCAGCCAAACAATTTTTACATCAATCTTGCTGCAGGAATATAGGATTTATTGTTCCCCAAATTCATAGAGCTGTATAGACTGGGGGTGGTGGGCAGTACAGTGAGGGGATAACTCTCCACCAGTACAGCCTCTTCCTTTACTAGTGCGTATCACATTACCGAAAATTCAGCGGCGATCGAGAGACGAAATGTTTTCAGTATAATTAATAACTAGTCACATCCCGAGCTTGATTCAGTGCCTGCTCACGTCATTAAATTTTAACATTTACACTGAAGTTTTATAGGAGTGAGATGAGTCATGGCATGGAAAATTAGAAACATCATCGAAAGTTGGCAGGGAGATCTTGATGCCAATGATTATTATTTTTTTTGACAATGGTAAAGTATAAATCCGAGTCAATAAAATCTTCTAAATACCTGAGTTTTTCTCGTGTCTCTGGCTGTGACTCCCTCACTACTACCTGCAATCATGCGTATATCGCGGCAACATGTACACAAAAGAATTAATTCAGTTTTTTCAAGGTTGTGTTAAAGTAAGTGGTCACGGCGACAACATTGATCACAATTAACTTAAAAGGGTTTATACTGCCTTTAACTGTGTTTTCGTCACTATTTGTGTCGTCAATGTTAAAGCTATCGTAAGTAATGAATTACCTTGAGTCTTGCTAGTGAACCACGTGCAGTCCCCTTCACTAGTGCATTTAAAGGGGCTCGTCAGATTTTGTGTTTGTGTGGCAGCGCTATCTTTGTTTACATTCAACAGAAGGAAACCCGCAATAGTAAACATATTATGGAATCAAATTAAAGCAATATTAAAAGAAAAAAAATTCTCAAAGATAAAAATTTATGGAATGTTTATATAACGAGCCTCTGTAAACGCACTAGTGAAGGGGACTGTACAGTTCGTAATGGTGCTCCTCCATCAGGTGGGTGTGGAGTGCCAGGCGGGTCTGCTGCTGTACAAGGTGATGGAAGGGGAGATAAGGGAAACTAACAGGTGCCTGAAGGACTACCTCGAGATTACTCAACCCAACGGCGTCTTTACCAAGTGAGTTTTCTTCCTGCCCTCCTCCCTGCATTCTTATCTACCTACCTTCCTAACTTCCTTCTACCTTCCTACGAACACTCGGAAACCATATTCTCTAGCCCACCTGGGTCGGTGCTGGAGGTTAGTACAGTGTCCTTTCTGGACGGGGGCCCACTCTAACTATCACGAGGCAACACACGCACGAACACACAGTCATAGTACGGCTGTATAGATGACATTATGTATAAATATTGTATATGGCATTTTATACTCTGCATTATCTTCATTATATATGAACACGAAGAAAAATTACCATAGGTTGTAGTTACGAAAGTATGAATGGAAATAAACACTTCCACACCACCCAGTGAGTCCACACAACGTTTACAGCGCTTCCACCACACCCCATCTATATTTTTTATTTCACATCATTCGCGTAACTATATGAAAAGTCGTGTTTAATTTAACTACTTTCAAAAACCTTAAATTACATGTGGATCAGTCACTCCTCATTTGACACACTTATAGTGTAATATTTTGACCATTCCACCTGGGCACATGGAGGCCCATGGTAACTCTCACGGGGCAACATACGCACGAACACAAGTTATGATATGAACCCTTCCAGGCGTCACTATCATTATCATGTTATGTTCATCGTGCTCTGTATCTTGGTAACTAGTCATAGTATCAATACATGACAGTGTTATTAGTATAATATTGTAACTTTTTACCTACAGTTACTGTTGTAACTCATGGACAGGAAGGATGCATAAATTGTAATATCAAGTGTATGGTTCGCTCAAAGCCACCCCAAGTCAGACAACGCGTCACACAAAGTTACACTGTGTGTGTGTGTGTGTGTGTGTGTGTGTGTTCTGTAACATTAAGCTTCATCCTTAGTAGGTAAGATGTTTCATAAAGAGGTTTCTCCTATTCGTCATTGTGAGCATCGTCCCAGAGCACATTGTTTCCATCAAAACCATGGTTCATCCTTATTTCCCTTCTTCCGTTTAACTATATCCATATAGCCAAGTGCTTGCTTTTCATTTCTTTATTTACCAAAATAATGTGGATCAGCTACTCGTTAATTAACACATACATGCACTTAGAGCATCAAGATTGTTTTGTAGGCATGACTATTGGTTAATTGAAACCCCAAAAATGTGGTTTTACGTCACTTCACATAAATATGCTTACAAAATCTATGCATTAATATGCATAACTCTTGGGAATCTGTCCAGACATTAAATATATGTTATATACTACAATAATCACATAGATATGTTTACAATGTTTATGCATAACAAATGTGAAAAATATTTTTGGGGTTTTAATTAACCAATAGTCATGCCTAAAAAACAATCTTGATGCTCTAAGTGCACAGTGTAGAGTGTGTTTTGGTGGTTGAGGTTCGCAGCGACATCAGAATCCTCCAAGCTGTACTGTACCCTCAGAATGGTAGCCAGAAAACTAGACATGAATGTGAGGAATTATATGGTTCACAAGAGAATGTTTTATCATCCTCCGTGATAATGGTCTTATCATAGGGTCTACTGCATGTAACCTTGGCTTAATCCCTACAATGGATGACATGATGGGAGTATGACTGACTTATGAGCGACACAATTAATATAAAAGTGTGTCACAACAAGAAGTAGGTCACAACACCGATAACTGTAACTTTCCACTGGCTATGAGGAAGCATGTTCAGAGCACGTGATAAAGTGTGTCCACGGGGAGCCGCGTCATATTGTGCTGAGCTAAGGCACTAAGTAGCCGTCTCTCTGGCCACCTAATGCGGGCAGTAGTTTGATATCCTTGACTAGAGGAAGACGTTATTGAGAGCCATCGTAGATGGTTCCGTCTTCCCTCGAGGGAGGACGACGTACATATTTCCGTTCTCCCTCGATGGGTTCCTACTCATGGCATTGTTACTCAACTCCTCACGCCAACCAGACGTATTTCGCAGGACTATTTAACATAGCCTCCGTCCTCCTCTTAACATTCATAGCTGCAGTGATAAGTTACGGTGATATACACTTGGAACTGAATCCTAGATATTTCTTGAATAAATGGATAACAGACAATTGGGTTTCGGTGCTAAAATCCGATATAATATATATGTTCGGGCCTTATTAACCCAGACGGAATCAGCCGTAAAAAGGCCTAGAACAGTACTGTACCACGACCACCAACATATTACTGTACTGTACCCCGACCACCACCATGTTACTGTACCCCGACCACCACCATGTTACTGTACCCCGACCACCACCATGTTACTGTACTGTACCCCGACCACCACCATGTTACTGTACTGTACCCCGACCACCACCATGTTACTGCACACCGACCACCACCATGTTACTGTACTGTACACCGACCACCACCATGTTACTGTACTGTACCCCAACCACCACTATTACCACTTCACTGTAACACTGTACTGATGACAACCACGTCACTGTAACACTGTACCAACCACCACTGTAACTGTAACACTGTAATGACCACCATGACGGCCCTATGACGCTGTAATGACCACCATGTTACTGTAACACTGCACTAACCATCACCAACACCACCATTACTTCACTTTAACACTGTACTAACCATCACCATGTTACTGTAATACTATACTAGGAACTATCTCGGCACTGTAACACCGTACGAACTGGTGGTGACCAGTTCACTGTAACACTGTACTAACCACCACCACTACTTCACTGTAACACTGTAATGACCACCACCACGGCACTGTAACACTGTACTGACCACCATTACGGAACTGTAACACTGTACTAATCATCACCACGGCACTGTAACTCTTTATTAAACACCAGGTCACTGTAAAACTGTACTGGCCATCACCACGGCACTGTAATACTGCACTAACTTTCACGTCACTGTAACACTGTACTAATCAGCACCATCGCATTGTAACACTGCACTGACATTCACCACGACACTGTGGCACAGTTGTAACCACCACGTCGCTGTGACACTGTACTGACCTTCACCACGCCAATGTAACACAGTACTAACCACCACCACGTTACTGTAACATTGTACTAACCACTAACACGGCACTGTAACACTGTACTAACTACCATTACGGAACTGTAACACTATTCTAAGCACCACCATGGCACTGTAACACTGTGCTGACCAGCACTACCGCATTGTAACACTGTACTGATCACCACCACGGCACTGTAACATTGTACTAACCACCACCACGGTACTGTAACACTGTACTGACCACCACCACGGCACTGTAACATTGTACTAGCCACCATCACGGCACTGTAACACTGTACTGGCCACCACTACGTCACTGGAACACTGTACTGACCACCACTACGTCACGTCACTGTAACATTGTACTAACGACTACCACAGTAATGTAACATTGTACTGATCATCAGGTACTGTGGCCCTTTAGTGAATAAGGGGAAACACGTGTCAGGGACGGACGCCTGGAGTTCAGCTCAGCTACGCACTACAACAGTTCGCTTTACCTCCCAGAAGCGTAAAGATTCCCTTCAAGACGCTGGTACACCAACAGGATTCAAAATGATGGTCACATGTAAGTTGAATTGTGCAGAGAGAGAGAGAGAGAGAGAGAGAGAGAGAGAGAGAGAGAGAGAGAGAGAGAGAGAGAGAGAGAGAGAGAGAGAGAGAGAGAACATAAGAACATAAGAAAATAAGGAGTCTGCAATAGGCCGGTTGGCCTGTGCATGGCAGCTCCTGTCGAGAGTTACTACCACTCTCTATCATCCATGAATCTATCTAGCCTCCTTTTGAAACTTTCCAGAGTTCCCGCACTTACTATAAAGTTGCTAAGCTTGTTCCACTCGTCCACCACCCTATTTGTGAACCAGTTTCTTCCTATCTCCCTCCTAAACCTAAACTTATCCAACTTGAATCCGTTGCTCCGAGTCCTATCCTGCTCGGATATTATAAGAACTTTATCTATCCCCTTTATTGATTCCTTTCACCCACTTAAATACTTCTATCATATCTCCCCGCACTCTTCGTCTTTCTAGGGAATGCAAGTTAAGTTTCTTTAACCAATCCTGATATGGAAGGTTTCTAAGTCCCGGAATCATTTTTGTCATTCTTCGCTGCACCGACTCTAGTGAATTTATATCCATTCTATAATAGGGGCACCAGAACTGAACTGCATAATCGAGGTGCGGCCTGACTAGCGCAAGATATAGTTGCAATAAGACCTCTGCACTCTTGTTACTTACACTTCTAGATATAAAACCCAATACTCTGTTTGCCTTATTTCGAACATTAACGCACTGTTTTCTAGGCCGTAGGTCCGGGCTTACAAGTACCCCTAGGTCTCTTTCACAAGTCGACTTCTCTAGGTTGATGTTGTTAAGGCTGTGTACATTATAAGTATTTGTTCTTCCAATATTAAGTACGCTGCACTTGCTGGTGTTGAATTTCATTTGCCATTTCTCAGACCACCCCTGCAGTTTATTTAGATCCTCCTGTAATGCATTTGCATCCTGACCTGAATTAATTTGCCGCCCTATTTTGGTGTCATCCGCAAACTTGCTTATGTCACTGCTGATCCCAGTATCTAGATCGTTTATGTAGATTATGAACAAGAGTGGGCCTAGTACTGACCCCTGGGGAACCCCACTGGTTACACGGCCCCACTCAGATTTAACACCATCTACGCTGACCCTCTCATGCTCTATCGGTGAGCCATGATTTTATCCTAATTTAAAACTTTCCCCTCGATACCATGAGCCTTAATTTTTCTCAGAAGCCTCTGATGCGGTACTCTGTCAAATGCTTTGCTAAAGTCTAAGTAAATAGCATCGTAATTTTCACATTCAATACCTCGAAGACTTTCCTAAAAACGTTAGCAGATTTGTTAGACAAGATTTTCCTTTGTAAACCCATGTTGAGAGTCGAGATTAATTTGCTTTTCTCTAGATGCGATCGGATGCTATCTGCTATAATTGATTCAAGAAATTTCCCCACTACTGACGTCAAACTGATCGGCCGGTAATTTGACGCTGATGCTCTGTCTCCCTTTTTGAATATGGGTACTACATTTGCCTGTTTCCACAAGTCTGGCACAACTCCAGTGTCTAATGATTTTGAAAATAAGTTTACGAGGGGTCCGCTAATCTGTTCCCTACACTCTTTCAAGACTCGAGAGAAAATTTCATCCGGCCCTGGGGATTTTGTTTTCTTTAGTTTATTTATCTTCTTAAGAACATCCTCTTTTCTGATAGTGATATTCTTTAATTTCTCTTCTTCCTTTCCCTTAAATATCAGTTCCACCTCTGGAATTTCATCTCAAATTTCTTCTGTGAAAACTGATAAGAAGTAGCTGTTCAATGCTTTGCTTATTTCTTCACTGCCATTTATCACTTCTCCCCTCCCTGACTTTAAAGGCCCAACTTTGTCCTTGACCTTTGTCCTATATACCTGGAAAAATCCCTTGGGATTCGCCTTGGATTCTCTTGCTATTTTGATTTCATAGTCTCTCTTTGCTTTCCTTACATTTTTCTTAACATTCCAAATGCCCTCAAAGGAAGTTTTCGTTGATTCACTGTTATATACCTGACAGTTCATCCAGCAAACAAATCACCACAGGAGTCTCTGCTTTGGATAAAGCTATCAATACAGCAATTCCAAGCGAGTATTTAATTGGCTGCTTGGTGCATACTTCGAAGTTTTAATATATTTTAGTAGAGAAAACTGCCCATTAAATCGAAATTTTTTTTTAATCTAATTCCTGTATTTTATCTGATGAATTGTTCTTACTAATTCCGGCATTTGTATATCCCAGGTAGACGCAGGGCCGGTATTTATAAAACCTTTCAGACCTAATATTTAATCTCAGAATTGAAAATTTATTTCTAATGTTAGGATTTGCTCCGAGAGTAAACCATAATGACTTTTATGCCTTAAGGATACTCTTAGAGTAGATGCAGCACATAAAATATATATATATATATATATATATATATATATATATATATATATATATATATATATATATATATATATATATATATATATATATATATATATATATATATATATATATATATATATATATATATATATATATATGCTGATAACCACAAGGAAAGAAGAATACACGAAGTTCCCAAGCGCTTTCGTGTAATTCACTGCTTTCAGATGCTGTTCATGTTAGGAATAATAATCATCCCATTGCTTGGGAAAAAAGCTTAGAAGTATTTAAATCATCTTGTGTCACAGAAAGACTTCTGGTTGAAGCTAGTTTGATTAAGGAATTAAAATCAATAAACCTTAGTGATGGTCAGTTCAAAACTGATAATATGTTACATAAATTTATTTGTCAGTGGCCCAAGGTTAGGAATGCTTTGAAAACATTTGATCTAGATGTATGATAGTTATTTAGTGGGTCTTGAATAAAGACGAAAGCTAAGGTGCTCCGTTGTTTCCCTTTTCCCGTGTGATTTTATCAAGATTTATCTTATCCACGTTTTCATTGTGGATCTACATGAAATATATCTATATCTATATCTATATATATATATATATATATATATATATATATATATATATATATATATATATATATATATATATATATATATATATATATATATATATATATATATATATATATAATCAACGATCTCACTATCCAGGACTCGAACCCTAGAGCTTATGCGTGTAACCAGGGACCGACCAATCCACAAGGACACTAAAAGCAGTCCTAGACTATGTTATATTTCACACAAAGCCTGTTCATCGAGCTGATGGTGCCGTGAACCTCCCATTGGGGATTGCCCTGGTCACACGCATAAGGTCTAGGGTTCGAGTCCTGGCTGGTGAGGTCGTTGATTTTATGTTCAAGTCCGCGTGTTATATGGACTAAAATTAAGTATATATATATCTCACCTTCTTGCTCCCACAGACTATTGCTGGATGTACAAGGAGCGCCTTCCCTCTACTACTAACCAGGTAGCCAGCAGTACGGAATCTGGTGAGGGCTCTGGTATTGGTAACAAGGACGATGGTACAAGCAGTGTGAACTCTGGTACAGGAAGTGTGAACTCTGGTACAGGAAGTGTGAACTCTGGTACAGGAAGTGTGAACCCTGGTACAGGAAGTGTGAACTTTGGTACAGGAAGTGTGAACTCTGGTACAGAAAGTGTGAACTCTGATACAAGAAGTGTGAACTCTGGTATAGAAAGTGTGAACTCTGGTACAGGAAGTGTGAACTCTGGTACAGGAAGTGAGAACTCTGGTACAGGAAGTGTAAACTCTGGTACAGGAAGTGTGAACCCTGGTACAGGAAGTGTGAACTCTGGTATAGGAAGTGTAAACTCTGGTACAGGAAGTGTAAACTCTGGTACAGGAAATGTGAACTCTGGTATAGGAGGTGTGAACTCTGGTACAGAAAGTGTGAACTCTGGTACAGGAAGTGTGAACTCTGGTACAGAAAGTGTGAACTCTGGTATAGGAAGTGTGAACTCTGGTACAGGAAGTGTGAACTCTGGTACAGGAAGTGAGAACTCTGGTACAGGAAGTGTGAACCTTGGCAGGAAGTGTAAACCTGGTACAGGAAGTGTGAACCCTGGTACAGTGTGAACTCTGGTACAGGAAGTGTGAACTCTGGTACAGAAAGTGTGAACTCTGGTATAGGAAGTGTGAACTCTTGGTACAGGAAGTGTGAACTCTGGTACAGAAGTGAACTCTGGTACAGGAAGTGTGAACTCTGGTACAGGAAGTGTAAACTCTGGTACAGGAAGTGTGAACCCTGGTACAGAAAGTGTGAACTCTGGTACAGAAAGTGTGAACTCTGGTATAGGAAGTGTGAACTCTGGTACAGGAAGTGTGAACTCTGGTACAGAAAGTGTGAACTCTGGTATAGGAAGTGTGAACTCTGGTACAGGAAGTGTGAACTCTGGTACAGGAAGTGTGAACTCTGGTACAGGAAGTGAGAACTCTGGTACAGGAAGTGTAAACTCTGGTACAGGAAGTGTGAACTCTGGTATAGGAGGTGTGAACTCTGGTACAGGAAGTGTAAACTCTGGTACAGGAAGTGTGAACCCTGGTACAGGAAGTGTGAACTTTGGTACAGGAAGTGTGAACTCTGGTACAGAAAGTGTGAACTCTGGTATAGGAAGTGTGAACTCTGGTACAGGAAGTGTGAACTCTGGTACAGGAAGTGAGAACTCTGGTACAGAAAGTGTGAACTCTGGTATAGGAAGTGTGAACTCTGGTACAGGAAGTGTGAACTCTGGTACAAGAAGTGTAAACTCTGGTACAGGAAGTGTGAACTCTGGTACAGGAAGTGTGTAAACCTGGTACAGGAAGTGTGAACCTGTACACAGAAGTAAACCTGGTACAGGAAGTGTAAACTCTGCACAGAAAGTGTGAACCTGGTATAGGAAGTGTGAACTCTGGCACAGGGGAAGTGTGAACTCTAAACAGGAAGAAACCCCAGCAGGAAGTGGAACTGGTACAGAAAGTGTGAACTCTTGGCACAGGAAGTGAACCTGGTGCCAGAAAGTGAACTCTGGTATAGGAAGTGTGAACTCTGGTACAGGAAGTGTGAACTCTGGTACAAGAAGTGTAAACTCTGGTACAGGAAGTGTGAACTCTGGTATAGGAGGTGTGAACTCTGGTACAGGAAATGTGAACTCTGGTACAGAAAGTGTGAACTCTGGTACAGGAAGTGTGAACTCTGGTACAGAAAGTGTGAACTCTGGTATAGGAAGTGTGAACTCTGGTACAGGAAGTGTGAACTCTGGTACAAGAAGTGTAAACTCTGGTACAGGAAGTGTGAACTCTGGTACAGGAAGTGTAAACTCTGGTACAGGAAGTGTGAACTCTGGTACAGGAAGTGTAAACTCTGGTACAGGAAGTGTAAACTCTGGTACAGGAAGTGTGAACTCTGGTACAGGAAGTGTAAACTCTGGTACAGGAAGTGTAAACTCTGGTACAGAAAGTGTGAACTCTGGTACAGGAAGTGAGAAAGTTTTTACCGATGGTGACAACCCGAGCAATGGTGGTGCGAATGTTGATTTTACTGCTCTAGTCTCAGACGCTGTTGGTGAGAACGTTGGTAGTCGGAGTGTCATGAATCTTAAATGATGAGGAGGGATGGGTGCAGTCACCTCCCTCCCTCCTCTTGATGGCGCCATCCTAGAGATCACCAACCACCGTCACCTCACAGTAAACCCTGGAGACAGAGATCCTCAAACAGCAAACCCTGGAGACAGAGATCCTCAAACAGTGAACCCTGGAGACAGAGATCCTCAAACAGCAAACCCTGGAGACAGAGATCCTCAAACAGCAAACCCTGGAGACAGAGATCCTCAAACAGTGAACCCTGGAGACAGAGATCCTCAAACAGCAAACCCTGGAGACAGAGATCCTCAAACAGTGAACCCTGGAGACAGAGATCCTCAAACAGTGAACCCTGGAGACAGAGATCCTCAAACAGTGAACCCTGGAGACAGAGATCCTCAAACAGTGAACCCTGCAATACTGTCATCCCACGTCTTAAGACGAAAACTCTAGATAATGAACCCCCGCGTTAATTAGCTCTCGCCTTAAATATTGAATCCCCATCACCAGACAGTGAACCCCATCACCAATGGGCACCATCACCAGACAGTGAACCCCATCACCAGACAGTGAACCCCACACCAGGAACCCCATCACTAGATGACCCCATCACCAGACAGTGAACCCCTTCACCAGACAATGACCCCATCACCAGACAGTGAACCCACATAGTGATCCCATCCCAGGCAGTGAACCCCATCACCAGGCAATACCCCATCACGAGACAGTGAACCCCATCACCAGACAGTGAACCCCACCACCTGATAGTGAATCCCCATCACCAGGCAGTGAACCCCATCACCAGACAATGAACCCCCATCACCAGACAGTGAACCCCATCACCAGACAGTGACCCCCCTGTGTGAATCCCTACCGGCCATAGACCCCATCACCAGAGAACCCTTAGAAGTGAACCCCACCACCAGATAGTGAATCCACATCACCAGACAGTGAACCCCATTACCAGACAGTGAACCCCATCACCAGACAGTGAATCCTCATCACCAGGCAGTGAACCCATCACCAGACAGTGACACCACTAGAAAGTGAACCCCACCACCAGATAGTGAATCCACATCACCAGACAGTGAACCTCCATTACCAGACAGTGACCCCATTCAGACAGTGAACCCCATCACCAAACAATGAATCCCATCACAGACAGTGAACCCCATCACCAGACAGTGAAACCCCACCACCAGACAGTGAACCCCACCACCAGATAGTGAATCCCATCAACATGAACCATCACCAGACAGTGAACCCCATCACCAGACAGTGAACCCCATCACCAGACAGTGAACCCCCATCACCAAACAGTGAACCCCCATCACCAGACAAGTGAACCCCATCACCAGACAGTGAACCCCATCACAGACATAATCCCAGACAGTGAACCCCATCACCAGACAGTGAACCCCATCACCAGACATTGAAACCATCACCAGACAGTGAACCCCACCACAGATAGTGGATCATCACCAGGCAGTGAACCCTATCACTAAAAAGTGAACCCCCATCACCAGACAGTGAACCCCATCACCAGACAGTGAACCCCACCACCAGATAGTGAATCCACATCACCAGACAGTGAACCCTATCACTAGAAAGTGAACCCCATCACCAAACAGTGAACCCCATCACCAGACAGTGAACCCCACCACCAGACAATGAACCCCATCACCAGACAGTGAACCCCATCACCAGACAGTGAACCCCACCACCTGATAGTGAATCCCCATCACCAGGCAGTGAACCCCATCACAAGACAATGAACCCCATCACCAGACAGTGAACCCCATCACCAGACAGTAAACCCACCACCAGATAGTGAATCCCCATCACCAGGCAGTGAACCCCAATCACCAGACAGTTAATCCCCATCACCAGGCAGTGAACCTCCATCACCAGGCAGTGAACCCCTATGACTAGAAAGTGAACCCCCATCACCTAACAATGAATCTCATCACCAGACAGTGAACCCCATCACCAGACAGTGAACCCCACCACCAGACAGTGAACCCCACCACCAGGCAGTGATCCCATCACCAGGCAGTGAATCCATCACCAGGCAGTGAACCCTATGACTAGAAAGTGAACCCCATCACCAAACACTGAATCCTCATCACCAGACAGAGAAACCCCACCACCAGACAGTGAACCCCACCACCAGATAGTGAATCCACATCACCAGACAGTGAACCTCCATTACCAGACAGTGAACCCCCATCACCAAACAATGAATACTCATCACCAGACAGTGAACCCCATCACCAGACAGTGAAACCCCACAGACAGTGAACCCCACCACCAGATAGTGAATCCACCAGACAGTGCTCCCCCATCAAGGACAGTGAACCCATCACCAGACAGTGAACCTCCATCACCAGACAGTGAACCCCATCACCAGACAGTGAACCCACATCACCAGACAGTGAACCTCCATTTCCAGACAGTGAACCCCATCACCAGACAATGGACCCCATCACCAGACAGTGAACCCCATCACCAGACAGTGAACCCCACCACCAGATAGTGAATCCCCATCACCAGGCAGTGAACCCCTATCACTAGAAAGTGAACCCTCATCACCAAACAGTGAATCCCCATCACCAGACAGTGAACCCCATCACCAGACAGTGAAACCCCACCACCAGACAGTGAACCCCACCACCAGATAGTGAATCCCCATCACCAGGCAGTGAACCCTATCACTGAGTGAACCCTCATCACCAAACAGTGAATCCCCATCACCAGACAGTGAACCCCATCACCAGACAGTGAACCCCACCACCAGATAGTGAACCCCATCACCAGGCAGTGAACCCTATCACTAGGTGAACCCCCATCACCAGACAGTGAACCCCATCACCAGGCAGTGAACCCCTATGACTAGAAAGTGAACCCCACCACCAGATAGTGAATCCACATCACCAGACAGTGAACTCCATTACCAGACAGGAACCCCATTACCAGACAGTGAACCCCATCACCAGACAGTGAACCCTCATCAAACAATGAATCCTCATCAAGACAGTGAACCCCATCACCAGACAGTGAAACCCCACCACCAGACAGTGAACCCCATCACCAGGCAGAACCCCTATGACTAGAAAGTGAACCCCACCACCAGATAGTGAATCCACATCACCAGACAGTGAACCTCCATTACCAGACAGTGAACCCCATTACCAGACAGTGAACCCCATCACCAGACAGTGAACCCCCATCACCAAACAATGAATCTCTCATACCAGACAGTGAACCCCATCACCAGACAAGGAAACCCCACCACCAGACAGTGAACCCCACCACCAGATAGTGAATCCACATCACCAGTCAGTGAACCCATTACCAGACAGTGAACCCCATCACCAGACAATGAACCCCATCACCAGACAGTGAACCTCCATCACCAGACAATGAACCCCATCACCAGACAGTGAACCCCATCACCAGACAGTGAACCCCATCACCAGACAGTGAACCCCATCACCAGACAGTGAACCCCACACATAGTGAACCCCATCGCCAGACAGTGAAACCATCACCAGACAGTGAACCCCACCACCAGATAGTGAATCGCCATCACCAGGCAGTGAACCCCATCACCAAAAAGTGAACCCCATCACCAGACAGTGAACCCCATCACCAGACAGTGAACCCCACCACCAGATAGTGAATCGCCATCACCAGGCAGTGAACCCTATCACCAAAAGTGAACCCCATCACCAGGCAGTGAACCCTATCACCAAACAGTGAACCCCATCACCAGACAGTGAACCCCATCACCAGACAGTGAACCCCACCACCAGATAGTGAATCCCCATCACCAGGCAGTGAACCCCATCACCAGAGAATGAACCCCCATCACCAGACAGTGAACTCATCACCAGACAGTGAACCCCACCACCTGATAGTGAATCCCCATCACCAGACAGTGAACCCCATCACCAGACAGTGAACCCCACCACTGATAGTGAATCCCCATCACCAGGCAGTGAACCCCTATGACTAGAAAGTGAACCCCCATCACCAAACAATGAATCCTCATCACCAGACAGTGAACCCCATCACCAGACAGTGAACCCCACCACCAGACAGTGAACCCCACCACCAGGCAGTGAATCCCCATCACCAGGCAGTGAACCTCCATCACCAGGCAGTGAACCCCTATGACTAGAAGGTGAACCCCCATCACCAAACACTGAATCCTCATCACCTGACAGTGAACCCCACACCAGACAGTGAACCCCACCACCAGATAGTGACCATCACCAGACAGTGAACTCCATTACCAGACAGTGAACCCCCATCACCAAACAATGAATCTCATCACCAGACAGTGAACCCCATCACCAGACAGTGAAACCCCACCACCAGACAGTGAACCCCACCACCAGATAGTAATCTATACCAGACAGTGCTCCATCAGGGACAGTGAACCCCATCACCAGACAGTGAACCTCCATCACCAGACAGTGAACCCCATCACCAGACAGTGAACCCACATCACCAGACAGTGAACCTCCATTTCCAGACAGTGAACCCCATCACCAGACAATGGACCCCATCACCAGACAGTGAACCCCATCACCAGACAGTGAACCCACCACCAGATAGTGAATCCCCATCACCAGGCAGAACCCCTATCACTAGAAAGTGAACCCCTATCACCAAACAGTGAATCCCCATCACCAGACAGTGAACCCCATCACCAGACAGTGAACCCCACCACCAGATAGTGAACCCCCATCACCAGGCAGTGAACCCCTATCACTAGAAAGTGAACCCCCATCACCAGACAGTGAACCCCATCACCAGACAGTGTATACCTTGAGGCCTCCCACCACCAGTACTAGGAGAACACATGAGCCACTAGTATAGGTTGTGGTGCCGTTTAAAGCACGTAGCCCACATTTACATAAAAAAAAATGAAAGTCGTCCAGAAGGCTTCATGTCTGTTGACTGTTGTGGTAAAACTCTTGATTTTTAGTCATATTTAAGAAACTAGAGTATTTTTTCCTTACTGTTAATATATACAGTATACTGTAGATATAGCAATGTATACACAATTTGATACAGTCATTCGACGCACCGACCAAATCCATGTTTTGTCAATGCTTCTCTTGGGTGACATTTTTCTGTAATCTTTTTAAAGTAACTTTTACATTAATGTAAAGGACACTGAAGTAGCTTGTACTCCACGAAAGTTTTCTACTTGACAAACTCCAAGTCATAAGGAAGAAAACAACCTGTGTTTTTATTGATACCGCCGGAGTTTGCTTATTAAAACCGCTGGAGTTTGTTTATTGAAGCCGCTGGAGTTTATTAACGCCGATGGTGTTTCCTGATGCCGCTGCTGTGTATTGACACCGTTGGTGTTTATTGACCCTGTTGATATTTATTGATGCTGTTGGTATTTATTGACACCACTGATGTTTATTGACACC